AAATTAGACATTCTTGCAGATGGAGTAGTAGTGTGACTTTTACTCAGAGGATCATAGAATCATAGGATGGTTTTGCTTGGAAAAGACCTTAAAGATCATCTAATTCCAAAACACCTGCATGGGAAGGGACACCTTCCACTAGATCAGAGTGCTCAAATCCCCATCCAATCTAGCCTTGAACAGTTTCAGAGAGGGGGCATCCACAACTTTTATGGCAACTTGTGCCAGTGTTTTACCACTCCAAATGTAAAAAATGTATTTATTTTATCTAATCTAAATCTCCCCCCTTTCAGTTTAAAGTCATTATGCCTTGTCCTATTGCTACACTCTGTGCTAAAAAGTCCCTCCCAGATTTCCTCTAGGCCCCTTCAGACACTGGAAGGCCACTATAAGGTCTTCCCAGAGCCTTCTCTTCTCCAGGCTGAACAACCCCAATTCTCTCAGCCTGTCTTCATAGCAGAGGTGCTCCAGCCTTCTGATCATCTTCATGGCTGTTCTCTGGACTTGCTCTAACAGTTCCATGTCTTTCTTAAGCTGGGGCCCACAGAGCTGAACGCAGTACTTCAGGTGGGGTCAGGATAAACTCTGTTTTTACTATAAGGTTGATTCCTGAAGTTTTGTGACTATTACTACTAGAATCTGAGTCATAGCCCTGTGTGTACCAGAAAGTTGCAACATATGCCATTCACTACATTATTGTCTTGCAATTTGTGGAAATCCTTGCCTACCTACTGTGACCTGTATTTCATAAACCTAACAAAAACCTTTAAAAAACCTAATTAACCACAACCTTTATATCATAAGAGAAGCTACCTAATAGCTGAATTAATTAAATAAACATCTGAGAATTAACAAGGATTCTATTTCTTTTTCTGTACCCTAAATAACTTTTTTTTATTCTCTGAAGAGCCATCAAAAGATGCAAGAATGAAAATATGGACCACTAAAAAGACTGATAGCAAGTCTCCTGGTTATTCTTCATATTCTTGAAAAGAATTCCTTAAGGCCAAGAAATGTAACATACAGAAGATAAACAAATTTGAAAATAAACTCTGCAATTAATAAAAAGGAATTGTTTAAAAAAAAAAAAAAGACACATAATTAAGATAAAATTGTTGCTGTGTTACTTACAAACTTTTTTCAAAGTAAATCTCTGAATGGGCTACCATTCCATACAATGAGTCTTCCACAGTATGGAGGAACTTATGAAGTTTGTGAAAATCCTCCCCAAACCAACACAACAATCCTGGTTACCTGAAAACACACCCTGTGATTTTGATATTTAAGACAAAACATGCCCAAGTGATACACAGCAGAAGGATAGATAGATAGATAGATAGATAGATAGATAGATAGATAGATAGATAGTTAGTAAGTAATCTCTCACACTGCCATAATATCTTTTAGTGCTGTGATTACCAGTGTTGTTTTTTAATGAATAAAGACTAAACGTCACATTTGCAATTTGTTCCCTTCCTTTAAAAAAAAACAAATAACAACCTGAAACTAATTACTGAATTAAAAACTGAATAAAGTTTCGAAATTAAAAACCTGATAAGTCACTTACAAAGTGACAATGAGTTAATGACTTTTAGAGGAAGGGAAACCTGCATTTTTATATTGTTATTAGAATATGAAAGGAAGACTCAATACATTGTTACCTGCAAGATCTGTGTAAATTAGAGTCAATCAAATAAAACGGTAGCCAGGAGAAATGCCATATAAATCTTTAGAATACCATAAAATAAGAAAATACTGAAATGTACTAAATAACCAAAATATTTCTTGTCTGGAATACTAATAGCAAAGTGGGAAAGTCATTATGTTTAAAAGAAGGGACAGCTTTAATTACATGAATCTTCAGGAACTGTCATATCAGTAAGCTCATTAGCTGCAATGAAAGTTCCTCCTGCTGATCTAAGAGTATTTAAAACCCAGGATTTCTAATACTTCAAAGCAAAAAAGGGTATCTTTAATTCATGTAACGTAACAGAGAATTAAGTCTACTTCAGTTATTATGAAGGTACAAACTAAAACTTTAGCATGTAACAGACAAAACCAAATTAAATACCCTGAAGTAAACCACAGTTGCATAGGTCAGATGTCTGTTGCCGCTTGACTGCCAAAGTTATATTTAAAAAACCTGACCGTTTATTTTTCCAGTGCAATAATTAATTTAGACATTGTGAATGTTTTCTCATTTATAAAATAATATACAATAAAAGTTACCTTCAGAACTAACAGCCCTTGTCACTGCTGTTAGAAGCTTGTAAATTATGTTAGCAGCTTACTGTCTGACAATTGCTGGACAATATTTATTGAAATTAAAGGAGCAAGAATGTTTTTGTCGAAAAAAAGGGTAAAAAGCAAATCAGTTGCTGAACATTGTAATGTTCTAATGTTCACTGTTTTGGAATAAGAAATAACTGGAGAGAGAAGTTTTAAGAATGAGTACATACAAAATAAAAAAAGATACAAATAAAAATGTGTGCCACAAATAGGCTGGCTGATTCAGGGGCAGGCACATCAAGGAAGAATGCTGAAAGTCATCTTTTACATAACTTGCTTTAAGAAACTTTCAGAACACAATTGCTTGATGGTGTTCAAACTAAAACTAATAAAAAACCCAACATGTATAGTATAATTCTATTTTTATACAATGTGTCTAAGTTTTCTGCTAATATTGTTTGAATGCCATTTACACATCTTTCTATCACATTAATTTTTAATTAGTATTTAAATGGCAGTTGCAAATGACACCTTTATGCCACATATAAAATGTGAAATTACTGTATCTGCAGAATTGGATAAGAAATAAGAAATAAATTAGGAAGAGTTTAATTAAAAAATAGCTTACAAGGAAGGCATGGCAGAGAAGAATATTCTTATCAAACTTCATTGATTTATTCCTGGAAATTACTTTGAGAAATTACTTCAGAGCAGAGAATTCCACCACTTCTACAAGACCCTAACCTTTGTCAGGACAAAAGCCAGACAACAGCAGAAACATTGAACATTATGTTAATATAATACAATCCCAGAAAAGAGTGATGTATTTCCTCACTCAATAACTCTGACAAAGTAGCATATATGTAAACAGAATTTTCCTGTCAGATGACAGGAAAAAGCCAGGCTGGCTGACTTCCTTCTGAACTATCAGGAGCCCGTAACCCCTAGATGAAACCTTTGGATCCAGCAATTTTCCCAATTTATTTGAAGTCTGAATTGCCTTCAATAAATACAATCCAGGATGGAGCATTCTTGTTAAGCACTAAATACTATTTATTGGAATCACAAAATGTTTTGGGTTGGAAGGGATCATTAAGTTCTAACCCCCTGCCATCGGCAGGGACATCCACCACTAGACCAGGTTGCACAGCATCCTGTTCAAAATGTCCTTGAACATTATCCATCCAGGGAGGAAGAATCCAGAACTTCCCTGCACAACCTGTTCTACTGTCTCACCACCCTCACAGTAAAGAACTTCTTCCTAATATCGAATATAAATCTACCCTCTTTCAGTTTGAAACCTTTTTCACTGATTATATCACTACAAGCCCTTGTAAACAGTCCCTCCTGGGCTTTCCTGTAAGCTTCCTCCAGGAACTGGAAGGCCACTACAAAGTCTCAGCAGAGCCTTCTCTTCTCCAGGCTGAACCCCAGCTCTCTCAGTTAAATGGAGGAGAAACTCTAAGCCCTCAATACCCAAACACTGTTCTGACACAACCGGTATTTCTTCTGGAAAAACACAAAAATAACATGTAAAATACTAAATTTATATACAGCAGAAACTCCTTCTATTATCACCACAAACAGTCAGATGAAGGGCTTAAAGCTTTTGACAGCTACTTAAAAAACACAGAATCACAGAAGCTTAGGGGTTGGAAGGGACCTCGAAAGATCATCTAGTCTAATCCCCTTTCCAGAGCAGGATCACCTACAACATATCACACAGGAACATGTCCGGGTGGGTTTTGAATGTCTCCAGTGAAGGAGACTCCACAACCTCTCTGGGAAGCCTGTTCCAGTGCTCTGTCACTCTCACAGGAAAGAAGGTTTTTCTGATACTTGAACTTCTAAGCGGCTATAATGCACCAACTAAAATTGAAAACGTTAAGAACCATGCTAATAGAAAGCAAACTGTATGTGAGTGACCACTATTTCAAGTTCCCTATCAGGAGCAGGTTTTTTAAAGCTGCAGCTTGTGGCAGGGAGACTGAGTGAGGCACAAGAGTGACATTGTACAAAGCAATACAGATAAACAGTGATATTTTCCAAAATGACATAAACTAAAAAAACGATTAACAGAGACAGCCCATCCTCTTCTCCTGTAAGAGTATGACAGTGCTGAAGCAGCATCAATTTCTATCTCCATGCTTAGTCAGTTTAAATTACTAAAGCTGTGATAAGATGTGGAGAAATAAACTCTTAATTAGAAATTGTACTTAAAAAAATCTGCTGCTGCATATATTGAGATTACCATATTCTATGCTGCATGATGAAGCAGTAGAAAGAGGAATTGATTTTTCCAGACCTCCAATGCTACTGTTGCATTAAAAACACATATGAGGGAGATAAAACTGTTCTGATTCATGTTTAGAAAAAAGAAATAAAAGATTAAGTGATGGTATGACAGCCTTTCTACATTTCTGAATTAAGAGACACTGAGTGATTGTACCATACATTACAGAAAAGACTGAAAGATGGAAATATTTTTAAGATAAGTTAATAGAAAAGAACTTTTAAAATAAATCTGGTTTTGACAGTGAGTCTTAAAGATCTGTTAGGAGAAATGTAATGGGAAATCCTGTAATAAATATTAGAGGGCTGAACAAAAACTACTACCTTCAAGATTACTTGCAGTAGCTCAAATTACTGACCTATGCTATAGACTAGTAATGTCCATTTTAAAAATAATGCTAGTAAAAAAAACCCAACAATCTCACATAAAATACACTGCAATGCATACACTATAGAAGCTTCTAGTTAGTTATACAAACCTTTACTAGCTTTATCTAAATGCTGAAAATCCTCAACAAAATTCAGGACATCCTGATAGCTTTCTTCACACACTTCTACAAGAAAATGGAGCAATGTTGTTTTTTGATCTGCTGACTTTGTGTCCTTCAGCTAGGAAGAAAAAAAGAAATGTTAAAACACTGAGAATAAGATTACTTCTTACTACTTTAATAATGTATATATATTACTAATTGTGAACCAAAGAAAGGTAAGAATAAACTGTTGAACTGGTATATCTTTTTTAAAGAAAACCCAAGGTAATAGGTTGTTTCATTTCCTCCCTTGTTAAAAATCCTTAGGAAAGATCACGTTAAATATTTTTTAATCTTATTCATTATTTGAATTATGTACTCAAAAAAGTAGATACTTTTTTAAATGTAATTATTTAAGCAATTTAGGAATATTTGCAAAACTGTAAATACTCAGGTAAGTGTAAACATAAATAAAAATCAGAGTTGAACCAGCAAAATTTAACAGTCCACGATGCTCATATCCACTCCATGAGATTATTTCCTTATGTGTGAAGCTAAATTTAGTCTAATGATATCTATGCTGTGGAAACTGCAACCTCAAACAGCACAAGTTATTATCAATTCTCAATAGGGCAAACAAGTTCACAGGCTTCACTGTTGAAAAATTTTGACTTAAAAACTTCTCAAGCAAAAACTTTTCTTTCTGAACCTTTTATACACATAAAATTATTCTAAGCCCAGCCATTTTAAAACTTGCAGCTACTTGTGTAAAACCACTAATAACTGACAACTAGCAAACATTCAGCTATACATTTGTCTTAGCCTCCTACTTGAGCTAGCCTTTTAAATCATCAGGAGATATTTTCAGAAATACAAAATTACATCTCATATGAAAGTTTTTGTCCACTAATTAAAAACTATTTCTGCATTAAACTATTTAACAGAAAATGTATACATGTACATAGGCACACACAAAGTATGCACATATATGAAAGGGCTTCCACAATTGTACCTAGACTTGTATATCTAAGTATCAGGGAAAAAAGTGTTTAGTGCAGTATTAAAGCTAGCAGTAAACAAGTAGAAAACTCATGTTCATTTGTTTCAACTTCAAGGCTGCTCTTTACCATGAAAAATACAAATGATCAGCAATGCTCAATGACACAAGGGTAACCGCAGCAACAAGGCAGAAAGACAAAATTACCTTCCCTTCCAAAGAGGGTTCAAAACCTGACACAGAGATATATGGGGATTACTTCTGAATAAAGCATCAAGAGCAAGATCCACCTCAATTTGTTAATTTTTTTTAAGTATGTATTAACTAAGTTTTCCCATGGTTTCAAATTTCTTAAAGATGGCTTTTTCACAGTTCTTGTGCTTTCCAATATCCTCAGAGAATACTTAAAGGGTATTTATTGATTTAATTTTAAACCAAATCTAAATATATGGTCTGCTTTTCCCATAATGTAAAAAGCCAATTTTGATCTTTTCAAAGATAAAAATGACACTATCTTAACAAATATGATGAGGTAAACTCTACTGGAATGTATATGTTCTACTTCAGAAAACTGGATTAATAGTAACGTGAGACATAATTTTCAAAATAAACAGAAAATAGAACACATATAACAATACCAAAAAATACATTCCAGGGTCATTACCTGCATGCAGTGTTATAAAATATGTTACTTCTACTGTACTGGGAATGTCAGTGATAAATATCTCAATAATTGAAACATCACACAAAATTTCTACAATATGACACTGCTCAAAATGTATGCAGTTAACAAGAGTTAGTTGTGAAAATAAACCAGTATTATAAACATGCAATAATTTTAAGATCTCAGTATTTAATAAATTATCTAGTAACAGCATACCAATACTGTATCTCTCTTCTGAGAATATGAATGCATGTTCTCTGATGCAGAACTATTACAGTTTATTTCTATATGATGCAGGGAGAAGGCAGGATATGGAATTGTTTTCTGCAAAGTGGAAGGAACTTTGACAGAAGTCACTTCATATTTCTTACTTACTCAGACCCCTGGTGAAAACTGCTGTGCAGACCGCCAAGCAGTCTGCAATTTCCAGCTTTCTAGTTTAGGGCCTTGAAGGAATATTGGTTTGGGTGGGCTTTTTTCTTGTTGTAATACTAATATTTTAAAAAGTTGAACCCGTTTCTTACTCTCAGAACAGAGAAGATTAGGTATTAACCAATATACTACACATAGTTAAGAAAACTCAAAAAATTGCACATACATAGTTTTACCTCTGCGTTTCCAGACAAAGTGATCTGTGTAAGACATAATTTCATAACCAGTGAAGGCCTGGCACTCACGGGCTTCCTAAATGAGGCCACAATTGGATGAAGTGAATTAGGAATTGGTGACTAGTACCCTGTTACACGTTGGACTGGATAGTCCAGAGTTACCTCTAAAATTCAGCTGTCTGATACTGAAGCAGAGAATAAAACATATAATAGAAATTGGATCTCACTTCTCCAGCAAATCTGCTGATATATTGGAATGTCACCATGTATCATGAAGGAAGAAAACTGTGGTTGATGTGCTGAATACCTGGGGCTTTTTTAGTCTGAATCTTTTATATCATCCTTTTGTCTAGGATGATATAAAGATATAACCATCTCAGATGATACTGCTAGTATTAATTTTCTACAAAAGTAGGATAGTAAATACAAATTCCCAGTGATTCTCTCTCTGAAAACGTCAACCTTCAAAAGAATGAGTAGGTGACTGTAGGTGGCACTTGTCCTAGAATATTTGGTGGCAAAGATCTGAAATTTTATAGATGATCTGTAAGGCAGCCACAGTTGCTCTGCCTCCCAGGAAAATCTTAAGAGTTGGTCGGTCTTTCCTAATCAGAATGGCTTCTCTTGGAAGGGGCCTTTAAAGATCATCCAGTCCAACCTCCCTGCCATGGCCAGGGACATCAGTATGCTCATATTCAACAAGCATCAAGCCTGCATTATCTTCTCCCGAGACAAGTTTTTAAACACCATGATCTGGCATTTACAAGCTAGAAATTTGAAGTGATGCGGAATCAAATATATGTGAAATCTTTGGCACTGGAACTTTGTTGTTTCCCTAGCAAATTTCTTATATAAATGAAACATATTGAGTACTATGACATATGTTTATGCATAATTAATGAAGTAATGGAAGCATTAAACAAGTATCACCACTTGTAATAATCTAACATGATACATTGTCAAAATTACACTCTACCAAGCATTTTGGTGATAGGCAGTAAATAACCTTTTTTGGTCCTTATAGTTTTGTGTCTCCCCTATCTAGAGACTTGTGATAGTAATCAGCATTTCTCTTAAGCAGAAGGTTGGACTAGATGCCTACTGACATCCATTCCCACCTGAATCATTCCATGATTCTAAGAAAAATTCCCAACTAGTTAACTAAATAGTCAAAATACTACTTATCTAGACTTGGCCTCATGACAACTCTCTGAGAGCTGATTTCCAAAGCTTTCCACGATCGCCTTTGCCATCATGTTCTTAACTATCTTTACAGTTAGAAAGCTTTCTTAACTTTTAAGCAAATATCTCGTTACCAGCCAAGCCAATTACTCTATCTCCTACCTAGAAAAAAATATTCAAACACCTTTTTCATCATAAATTATTAACCAAAGAATACTGTTACATCTTCCTCCTGTTTCTCTCCCCCCTTTTTTTTTTTTTTTTTTAAATACACCTAAATTCTTTTTTCCTCAATTAAGAAATGTTACAAATTCATCTGGATTCTCATCAGCCAGTCTATATATTTGCTGTAGTAATTCAGAGACTTCACTTACAACCTTATTAGCACCAAGAAAGTAGTAAATAATTACCTTCTTACATAGAAAGTCCACATTAAGATATTTTTTTCCTCTCCAGCAGAATGCTGTAACCTCCTATAAAGCTAAATAACTTGTAAACATGCAAATCAAACAAACTATGACATCCTAGGTTATCGAATGCATATAATGCCACAGCACCGCAGAGTTAGACAGGACTTAAAGCACATTTTCTGGAATTCTTCCTAGCTATTCACTCCCTATTTATATTATCCCATCAGTTGCCTTTCCTATGTGTAGTACTTCACGGTAGTCTTTAAAATTTTCATTTTCTAGATCTTAAATTATTTCTCCGAGATATTTTTTTAATTTTGATCATGCTCAGTAAAGTATCTCTAACAATTACCTTCGTATTGTTCTCGTAAGTATATTTATTTTTTTTAATTGCCTTGTGCATTAAAAATAAAGAAAATATAATAAGAACTAGGACAGATTCTTCTAAAACCATACCTAAGAAGGAAACACATCCAATGTGAAACAGAACCTTTAGTAACTTCCTTCTGACTCTTTCTTAACAAATTTTATCTCTAACTCAATAACTTCAGCTATGGTATATTTCTTTAGGTGGCTGATGCATGCTTAAATGTTTACTTTGGACAAGGGAAGATATATAACTTCTTCTTCATGTATATTTAAGTTACAGGTATTGCATTCAACACTGAAGAAACATAGCATTCTTCTGAAACATGGCAGAATAAGTGTGATTATTTTAAAGAACATAGAAGTTAATGTATTTTTTTCCATTGTGTCAAAAGATCAAGAAGCTGAGAGAAGACAAAGACTACATACAGATTATCAAATAATTCCTTGCTTATAAGGGCTATAAGACACATATACACTCTGTGCAGATTTGGCAGTGACCTCCAAGAGGGCTCAGGAATAAAATAAAAACACTAAATAAGGGGAAGTAATTAGGATTAAATGTGATTATAAATTAACATTCAGGAAAGTACAAATGACCTCTTGCATATACCTTATATAAAAGTCGAAAAAGTGAAAATGCAGGAAAAATTAGAAGAAATGTGGAAATTATGAAACAAAAGAGAATCAGATAAAGAGAAAATTTATGTTAAAGAGAACACATAACTGTATTTAAACAGATTAAAATGTCCCATACTTTGAAGTTTTCATACATGTAAGACTACAACACTATGAATACAGTGATCTGGTCCTTCTATAATCTTATTTAGTTTGATGTTTGTTTTTTTAAAATTTGTCCCTCAATATGGAATCTTTTAAAAGTTTAACTGCAAGCCTGTCTCAAGATGACTGTACACAGATTAGCTGTATTGTTCAAATCATCAACAGTTGCTAAGAATTATGAAAAATAACCAACTGAACAAAACAATCCAAATAATAAACTGCAGGAAAACATCAAAACCAAGTATGTAATAAAAACAAATGAAAAATTGAATGTAATACTCAACAAGGACATTGCAAAACTCACTTTACATAGGGAGCTGAGATTATATCCAAAGGTTTGAGCATTGCGAGAACCTGCATTCATGTAGTTTCCTATTAACAATACTAGTTCCAGCAGCTTGCTAAAGCTTTTACTCTTCTTTATCTCTTCACAGGCAGCACTGACAGCCATGATGTCAGGTTTGATGTTGTTCACCTGCTCCTCAAACTGGAGCTTAAAAAGAATAGCACTGAGCCGTGGCCGTAGTCTCTTCACGTTGCTCATCTGATTGAAAAGAAAATAGGAGATTTCCTTTAAAATTCATGCTACACTTTGGCACTGTACAAATGCATACAATCTGTAATGATTTATTGGTGTGACAGGCTTGAAGAAGCAATATATCTGCTATAACTGATAGCAAATGAACGAATGAATGAGAGACACTTGGGTAAGCAACTGAAATCCCATCTTGTGGTTAATATAAACTGCCCCCATCCTTTCCCAATAACTAGTATGTGTAAGCAATAAAAGATAAAGTGTCATCATATATCACATCTGTCAACTCATATACCAAAACCTATAAAACTAATCCAAGTTTATGACCCAGTAGTTGCAAAGTAATAAAAGTAGTTCACAAATTTTGTATAACTCAGAATATACCAAAACAAGCCAAATCTTATTTTCCTGTGCAAATATTTAAAAGCCTATTGCTATAAGATCTTACTGCAAACTTGAAGGACAATAACAGCTTTGAAACATCCTAGCTATGAAACACTTAATATAGCATACTTCAGTACATATTAGTAGTCAGATCCCATTATAGTACTGGAGCCTATACAGTTAATTGGGTAAAGCAGAATGCTTCCAGGAAAACAGTAGCTTCTGTAGATCATATGCAAAGGGCTTGGCTTTTTCTGTGGTTTACCAATCAGGGATTTTCAACAGAAGTTTTAATCTTCCCCTAGAGCTTAGGTCGCTGAATTCCTATCCCAGAGATACTTTGCATATTATTTACTATACCCAAACAAGACTCTACATTTTATTGCTTCTTTAAATCAAGAACCATCAAATGCATTCCATAAAAACAATTTCTGCACCTCCCAAGCTTCCAACGAATTACTCATCCTTCTAACTCCCACAGAAATCTTTAAACATTATTTTTGGTTAGGTATCCCAGTAGCTTTTAGTCTTCAATGTTTTCTCCCTACCAGGAATTACATGTACTTTGCCTTTTTCTTCTTCCACAGCAGGTGTTTTCTTTCTCCCTGCCCTGTGGTTCTGTTTGCACATGAGAAACACCAGTCTCAAATCCTTCCATGAGCTTCTTCCTTCATTTGTCCCTATCCCTGTTTTCACACCAATTTGATGAATTCTGTAAGATCTTTTCCATACTTGTACTTTTCCTTCTGAAGGCAAGGTTTAAACCAATAATGTTTTCACAATCCCTGAAATCCTAAACTAGGCTTAGTTTAGTTTTTTACAGTAAAAAACCCATTATGGTTTCCAGCTATCAGTACTTCTCAACGTGAGAAAAGCAACAATATTGGAACTTCACCTACCAAGTAATACATTTCATATACTGGCCTTAAAAGTTTGTCTTTAAATTGGAAATACCTCCCTTCAAACAACAGTGATGCCAAAGTTTTTACAGAATATTTCTCAATCCATATGTAGTCTATCAACCAAAAATAGCTCTGACAGTAGAAAGTTCACAGGTCATTTGAGCCTGATTATCCCACAACAGACTCAATGAAAAGGGTAAGGGTGACACTCTTCATCCATTTCACTGTACAGTCAAACAAGGTATTTTAAACTGATACCAAAGGCTGTCTAATCCATAGGGTTTGATATAGAAACAGAAGAGGATGGAATTTATGATCTATTTTATTGTTTTTTACTGTAACAGCAGAAAAAATATAATGAGGTAGAGTTAACATTTTATCCTACTTCTGCAATTCCTGCCTGGTAGTGCAACCACCAGATGATGTAAACATACCATCTGCATTTTAGTTCAGATAAGAAATCTTGAAGTAAAATAAGCGAGCCTTTCCAATAACTACACTTTGATTTGCATCACAGAGCAGAGCACACAAATACGATGCCTTTCAGATGAAACTAGGTTGAAAATGCACTCTACTACTCAGCTTTAGCCCACAGACTGCCTCCAGCCTGGTCCTAAAGTAAAATATTAAAATGTATATAGTTGGAATGTTAGCTCAGCACCAACCCTGGGCAGATATTCTGTACTCATCACCATACACTAAATAGCACCATTAGTGTGGGGTAAGGAAGAGAAAAGGTAAGCAAGAATAATTGGATTTGAAATTAAATAGAGCATTTCACAGTGAAATTGAAATGGAAGTACTTGAAAGCCACCCAAAAAGAATCTAGTGCTCTTACAACTTGACATCTAATTCAGGAATAAATATTTAAAATAATATTAAGGTACGGAATAGAGGCAAGTGTCACAAAATCATTCTCCCAGCTCCATCAGGAAGAATCAGTATTAAATCATTTTCATCAAACAATTCGCTTACTAGATTTATATGTGTACTATTGCTTCTCAGCATATTGAGAATATGCTTAATTTTAAGTTTTTTCCACCATTCAGGAAAATATTGAAACTAGACTAGAAAAAACACAAAACCCCATTGAAACTATCCAGATTTTTAGTATTTGTCCCTACTCAGGGTGCAACAGAGACAATCATTACTATCAAACAATGGGGAATAGCAAAATAGTGTAAATTTCATTGATTTTAAATGGTTCCAAACTCAAGATAATACAGAACCAGCAGATAATGCATCATTTATTGACTCCTGGCTTCTCAGATGGGCACATTGTTGAAACTGAAATAATCAAGTACTTCAGATCGTAAACACGCGTTGCCAAAACATGAGCAAGCAAATATGCATGGAAGACGCAAAGGTTTCATCAGAACTAGTTAAAATACAACAAATAAAGTTCTGTACATAAGCCTTAAGGATGGATGCAGAAATAAGTAATCTAAAAAATCAGAAGCTGAAGCACATGCCAGAAAGGCAACAGAAATGTCATTGGGCTTGTTTGAATTATTGGTTTTTAAACCCTCTGAAATCCATTGTTCACATACAACACATAGTTGGTAGTATTTGTTTACTTGTTTGCTAAGTCAATAATTGAAAAGGGAGGAGAGTTCCCTTCACAATATTGTGGCTTTCTTTGTGACATCTAGTCTACACATATATTCCAACTGAAAAATCCATACACCTTATCAGAAGAAATGCTAGGAATTCAAGTGTTTCCATGTTGACAGGCTTATGTTCATGCTCTGTACTTTTTTATATTCATCACATTAAGTACATAAGTCTACTTATGTCCTTATAGTGGAATCCTGAAAACAGACAATCCAAATAACTAAAAAGGAAAGCTGAAGCAGAAAGCTAAAGAGTGAATGGACTACATGTGTCAGAGAACTCAGTGTATGGCTAACCAACTGTACTATTTTTCAAGTAATAGTCCACAAGACTATTCTCATTATGTACAAGTCCAAGTGGGAATTGAGAAACGAGTTGAGCTATATCCAGTAGTAGCTCTCACAGCCCTTTATCCAACAGCAAAGAGAGGATTTTCTCTCAAATACAGCATAAATCAGAAGGCATCTGCAAAAGTGTGGCTTCACGTTTCATTTTCTGCTTTGTTGGTGTCAAGTAAAGGAACATGTCTCAAAAGTTACACTGACATTATGTTTTGATCACTGAATGTGATTTATTCTTACAACAAGCTCATAGAGGAAAACACTGCTAGGGTTCCAGTTTCACAATATAACTTTCTTGAAGGATCAACAGTGCCGGGGCTGTCAAACCACCTGAAATTGTTCCCATCCAAAAAGAAAAATATCAGTTACAGCCAAGCCAAATAAATAAAAGAGTAAACTGGAAGGCCATCCTCTGTGGAAAATATATGGTTTTCATCACTGCAACATCAGTGAACTCTACAGAGTTCATAGGTAAAAAGTGTGAATTTCTAGTACTTATCTTCAGACTCAGACACTGGAAAAGCAGAATAAAAAACTGAAGGAAGAACTGATACCTTAACAGACCTTTCATTGCATTTAAAGAAGAACAAAAGAAGACTCTGCTCAATTTGAAATGGGCAGTAAACATGCCCAATTCTTAGTTGAAGACTACCAGCATTCTGGAAAGACCAAACATTATTTCAGTGTACTGGAAGTCAATCTACAATAATGGAACAGTATTTTTGTTGAGATGGTTTCATGGCTATGAGGAAATACTACTACTTTCTTCACCTTTACTACTTCCTTCTTCCCAAATAAATTATAGTGAAGTCAATAAAATTACTTACAAGAAATCAGGAAGTCTTTATACTTACAATGTGGATGTGTGTACACGTGAAAAATTGAACTAATGACTTTCCAGCCATAGCAGCACTGATATAGAGCATGTCCTGCCATTCTGTTTCTCCATCTTGAATTATAAACAGCTTGAATTTGCAATGGCTCAATTTCTTGCAAATTCAAGACCTTCCTAAAGGATATTCAGGATGGAAGAGAAGGGAGTGTAGTGTGACACAGGGACAACATCTATCAGTTACCTCCTAGCTGCACACAGGTAGCCCTCTGCACTGATGTACAGTCCAGGAAACCCCTGGTAATGTTTTTGATGGCATTATGTTCAACAAAGATGGACAAGCAGGGCCAGTCTGCAGATCTCAGAAATGGGAGTGTTCCTTTTGAATTCTCCAAAAGTCAATTCTCTTATGAAATACATCCAAATTGCCAATAGGGACTACAAAACAGCTGTTAAAGTAAGTTGAGTTTACAGCCCTCATGCTGAAATTCACAGAGAAGTATGTTTTAGTATGAAAAGAGGTAATTTTTTTTTTTCCTATTGAAAAAATATAATTAGAGTTACTGACATGTTGATCAGATTGGAATACAGAGAGAGCTTTTGTTTCTACAAGTTGAATTTAGACAACGGTATTTTCCTAAAAAGGAATTATTCAAGACTCAGATCGTCCGAACGGCCAAATTCTTACATTTTTAAGCAGACCTAACAGATGTCAAAAAAAACCCTGTTTTCATTAAAAGTTACATATGGAGCAGGTGCCACTAGACTGAAAAGCCTTCCTCATGGGAAACCAAGTCAAGAGTTTAATATAGGTAAAAAACTTCTAATGCAGCCAGATAACATATAAATATATTTATACTAGAAGTCAAGGGCACAAGTCATGGAGGAATTTAAAACCTAATAAAATAATACCAAACCAAATGGAGAAAAGTTTCT